TTATTGAGTCCCTGTTTTGTACTAAACCGGGGGCCCAGTGGCTGCTCCGGCCATCCTGGAATCCCGGCAGCCCTGGCACTGCCACCAGGACCTGGTGCTGCCTGGCATCTTCCCCCTCCTCCAGCTGTGTCCCCCCCTAAACTCAGCTCATCCCAGTCGCCCTCCCACTGCCACACATGCCAAGAGCAGGCATCCCGCCACCCTCGGGCTGCTACAAGGCAAAAATAGTTTTCTGTGATAATTAGAGGAATTACTTAGGCAAATGCAGCAGCACAAGGAGAGCAGAGAGGTTTAAACACCGAGCTGATCCCAGCAGTCAGTGGTGTTTTGGCATCAAGCACTGAGTGTTTCGGCCACCTCCCACCGGGAGAGAAGAGCTTTCAGCAGGCCGGCCGGCACGCACACCCGCTCGCTAGCCACTTCACACAGCGGTGCCCAGCACACGCGGCTGCGGAGAAGCAAGAGGACCCCTGGGGCCTGCTTGTCATCATCTAAAGATGAACGTAAGAGAAAAACAGGAGTATAAATCAATCATTCCTCAGTGCCTTCTCTGCTGGGGGCCTGTGGTTGGAGGATCTGAAACAAGTGCGACAAGTGTCACCTCCAACGTGCTGGCGCTGCACTGAGGCCCAGGCAGCTTCCCCGCGAGCAAATGTTGCAGACTCACAGAGGGTTTTGCTCCTGCTGGGCGTGAGGGGGGCGGCTGGGTCTGCGCCCCGGGACCGCTTACCTTCACTGTGGCCGAGTACGTGCATTTGACAGACGGGGTGTCGAAGCCGGGGAAGAAGGACCTGTTGAGGACGGCCTGGCCTTGTGTGTACATGTAGGGCTTCTGCTTCCCCGCCGTCTGCTCGGGAGTGAGCCAGCACACCTGAGGAGGGAGGGTGGGAGAAACCCCGGGTGAGGGGCGTCCCGGGGTGAGGGGTGTCTCTGGCTCCTCGCCCGTGGGGACTCTCTGCTGAGGGAGCTGGGTCTTCTCCCCCGGGGGAGTCCCAGCCCATTCTGTGACCGGTGGTGACGCAGCTGCCTGGCTCCCTCTGTCCCCTCCTCATACTCCTGTCTCCCCTCAGCTCCCCGGCTCCCTCAGCCCTCCATCCCCCTCAGCTCCCCAGTTCCCCCTCAGCCCTCTGTCCCCTCAGCCCCCCGGTCCCCCTC